GGGGGATGGGATGGGTTGCTGCTGCTCTCTCCCTCTCACCCTGGGTGCGTGCGTTCACCTGCATCATGTGATCCCCCGCGGCTGTCCACTTTTGCGATTACGTTTGCGCTTACGTTGTTGCGGTCACCCTGCCCTTTCTGCGATGTTCGAATTCTTCTCGCATGGGCAAATTATGAATGCTTTATCGCTTTAACTTTTGCCTATTTAATGCCCTTGGAGGGACTAAAGAGCTTTACAACCGTTCATCGCTGAGTTAGCACTCAAGCACCAAGGAAGTGGAAGTTCATAGGGGAGGGATTGTATCAAGAAGTGGAAATCAGGAGGAGGACCCTACTTCATCTGAGTTTCGGAGTTATTTTTATTCTCTACTTGATTTCTTCAGATTTTTCCTCTATTTTCATTAGCATCCTCTGCGTAGATGCAATCTGGTTGCCAACTTTGCGTATGATCTCGAAGTCATTCTTCGTTTCACATAGTCGTGGGGGGGGGGGGGGGGGGGGGGGGGGGGAGNGGGGGGGAGAGAGTGGGCTATATACTTTCCCATTATTCCTTCTTCTTCCTCCTCTCGACCCTCCTCTCCATTGCTTGCCTTTTCAAACTCGCTTTTGATGGCCCATTTTTCAGCTGCCTTCATGTAATTAAAGTTTATATATATATATATATGTCCATTCTCCAATTAGCCGGGGGTATTTTTATGAATCTGCCATAATTAGTTACGCGTGTAAATACACCCTGAGCAAAAAATTTATTTGTTACTCTTATTCGCCAAACAATTCTGAAGTGATCAGGTATATTTTCTCTCAAATCCGAATTAATAAGACCCGAATTCAATGAGGATTTCATTCTCTCCCGTCTAGTACTTAGCTGGTTAGTCTGCTGGAGCCCAAACAAAATAGCCGCCACCGTCTTCGGAGGCTGGGTTGGGAATATTTATTTGTTTATTTACATCAAATGGCAGGCGTTTTTATGGTCATCATTAGCCCTTAAGTTGACTTCAGGCCTCACAGACGAGGGTAGAAAAAAGGTGAGGTGAGTACTGTGGAGGTGGTCGAATATGAAATACAGTGGGGTGATGGTAGTATGAAGTCAGAAGTCAACTGCCGGTTAATAGGCTATTTCGCGTATGAGTATACGATGCCTGCCCAGGGTGCACCACGTGGAGATACGTCTATCGCACACCCCGGGGTTGTGAATATAATACACGTCGTACTCTCCCTAAGTTCATCTTTGATCAATTAGGAGCTGAGTCTGGAAATTCGCTATTCCTTTCTTCTTACCTCCGCAAAAGTGGTCGTAAAGTGGGCGTTTTTTTAAAATCCCTAATGTCCAAGGCGGTTTTGGTTTTAGTTTTGGCCACTTTGTAAACTCCCTCACTTCCCCATTGGTTCATTTACGAAGTGAATCAATTGATGAAGGCTTGCATTCGTCCACACGCCTAGCGACTTGTACAATCGTTCTTAAATCGCCTATTGGACTTAACTAGGTTCGACTTGGGTAATATCTCCTCATCGTGTTGATTGGCTTTTAACTAGAATGAGAATCGTCATTATAACTGACGCGTTGATTAATGCGTAGTAATAATCTGTTGCATAAACGTGTACGATGCCTTTTATTTTTTTTTGGGAATGTTCTCCTAGACACATTAAAGCTGCCAGTTTTCTCTCTATTGTTGCCATGTCGCGATAACAAATCATGAAACTCGTAATTCTTTAATTAGTTTTTTTTTCTACAACAAATCTTTAAGTGATAAAGAAAATCAGCGCACTGTTTTACCTTTCGATCGCCAAGAGGAAGCCAAACTATGTGCTCTTGTAATATGTAACTCTCAGTATAGCAGTTAGACTAAACCTCACTTATCAATGCTCTCTCATTAAGGCTGTCAAAGGAAATGTCATATTTTCGATGGAATAACAAAGCAGCCCGTAATGTGGGAGATTCTACGTCGAAAAAAAATTGAATCCACTTTGAAACTCAAAGGCAAAGTAATTCATTACGGTGTCGAGACCTCGGTTGGCCCTTTTTTATCCTAAAACTCCCATAAATGCACTCAGAGTGATTCACGCCCTCTTAACTCCCGTTAATCTGTTATATGTTACCTTTTTAGCTCCAAACCCCAATCACGTGATTTGTGACCTTTGATCGTAAATACTGAAGGCATCAACATGATCCTCTCTCTCCCCCCCTCCCCCTCCTCCTCTTATTTCATTTTACGATATTGGAGTGTTTGGCTTGCCTAAGTCTGTTTGTGGAGTTTGTGTACACACAGTGTACTTACCTTTAGTTTCTTTAAGGCCATATGGTATTTGAATAGAACTGAATGTTTTGGATTTATAAAGTATGAATTTCACATGTCCCATTAACGCATAGAAGTAGGAACTATTGTTTACTAGCTATTTCATACTCTAATCGGGAGCCGATCGTTATGCCAGATATTTCCGTTATCCACAAAAACCTCTCTCTCTCTCTTCCCATGCGTGTTCGAACTCAGCGAGAGTATTGGTGGATAACTTATGACTCAAATGAAGGCTTTTTCAACCTAATCTATTCATATTCAAGCGTATTTGACTAATTGCTTAGTCAGTAATGCAACAGTGGACACAATTAGTTATCAGGTAGGTAAGCATGCAACAGCAACCGTCGATAAATTTAAATGAATAGACTTAGTCCACAGGGATCCTGTGAGTTCTAGTTTGGTGTTTAAACTATTAAATTTTATCTCTCATAGACACCGAGCTTTCTTCAATTCCACGTGTGTGTGTATATGCGTGTGTGTGTGTTTGTTTAGATGGCATGAAATGACAAATTGTGATATCCATATGTGTGACGGCACACAAATCGAAAACCGTTCTTTCAGATCGTTTAGATCGATATTTTCAAGCGCGCTACTCTTGTTTTAAGTTATTTTATAGGTCCTTTAGCCTTAAAGTACGTATCGAGGATCCGAATTGAACTGAAAAGATGCATAACCTCCAATTCCTAGTGCATTGAACGGATAGGTCGGTGGGACTTTACGGTTACCCTCATTTTGGCAATCTTTACCATGGAATTATCAGCTTGTTCGTTAAAGCCCTATATTCGGTGACCGATCTATTTCCCCTTCTAGTTTAATAATACGTGTTCTGTTTTTCTTTTTTAATTCTTTCAGGCAGCTACCATGGATCCAGTTTGGGAGGTTCACTTTGCAGTTTGACAAGCCGCGGTTATGATGGTGTAGCACATAGTCTCGCAGAAGCCATGCAGGATGACGAATCTCTAGCACGAAGCGCTCAACAGCAACTCTTTTTGGGAAGTCAACAACAACAGCAACAGCATTTCGCCACTATCACACCTATTCCTCTGACCTTCAATCGCTCTAATTCACCAGCCATTGGCAGCACTGTGTCATCCAAAGTCCTGAGTGGGAAACGCGACTCTCTCTTCCTTTGTGAAAGCGATTTCCCGGAGATGGAAAGTAGTGCTCCTGTTGCGATTTCGGAGACGATTGAAGCTCCAACACTCATTTCAAATCTACCTTTTCCCATGGATGAACTAGAAATCCATGAAATCGCCACTACAGAAGTCGCAACCCCCATCCTTGGCGCCGTAACAGTAGCAGAGCCAGCTAATATGAATGTAGCGACGTCTCTTCCCTTTAGAATGGATTTCTTAGGTGGTTCCCTCTTCTCAGAAGAGAGTTTGAGTTCTTCTCCTTCGAAACCTGGCGCCTCTTCATTAGGCGGTGGCAGCAGTCTGCAGATGTCGACTTCTAAGAAAACTAAAAAAGCGCGAAAGAGAGCAAGCGCCAAACGGAGACAATTGCAGGAACTGCAACAGAAGGAGCCGCCGGAAACAGAGGAGTCTCCTGGTGTCTCTTCCACAAATGTGGATATGAGTACTTCAATCGCGTCCACGACTACAAGATGGCATCGTCGATCAAGCAGCAGCAAGAAGGCGGAAGATGAGGAGAAGGAAGTGTCGGAATCGCCTCTAAAGAAGTTGCAGGGGAAGCAACAGAAGTCATCTAAAAGGAGCTCCCCTTCTGGACTCTCCCTGAGTCGATCGATTTCTGATGAAGATTACGATGACAACAATGGTGGTTGGGCCGCTGAGATTGAACGCGATTCGCCTTATTAACTTGCGTTTTGTTTTGGTAAGGGGATTACTTTAAATCTGTAAAGTTTTGCCTGAAAGCGATGGAATTCTGTTTTATATCAGAATTTTCATCTCTGAGATTTAGAAAGTGATGGTTTTGTATTACCTTTCATCCTCACGACGGTTGAATAAACAGCGAGTCCAACTTCAATCTGATGGTTCCTCTTCTTTACATTTTAAAGTAAATCGTCGTCATTATTACCCACAGTAATTATGGGAAGTAGCTGAGTTCGATTAATAGAAATTCCAACTAAATGAACGGAGGTATTGCGAGTGACGTCAAGAATCAAGGATGTGTGGACTATTCCCGCACTGAATAGCTAATGTTCACACAATTCGAGTGCTCGTCTACGATGTCCAATTCCTGGTCAAGATGGGCCAGATTTGCCGCTTCAATCCACTGCTCTTCCTAGGGCTGAGTTGACGAACGATCTCGCCACCATATTCCACAACTTGCCTTTATAAAAATTGCGAATTGTCTGATTCGTGTAAGCTACATTCACTTATGGCGACGTCTTCACATTCTTTTAATTAAATTACAAAGGGGAGAATAAAAAGGAACATGGCTTCCATTCATTTGGCTGCATTTCACTTTTATCAGGTTAAGTTCACTTTACTAAATCCTAGCCTAGGGTAGATTGCCACCGTTCAGTGGACCAAATTGAGGGTCTTCTATCAGTGACGGAGTGTTCAACTTGCAAGTCTCCCATGTCAGGAGTCACGAATTCGATTCCCGTATGGGTTAGGTCTGACTAATATGACTCGTATTCAGCGTCTCCCATCGAGGAGACTCCATGATTCCACTCTCACCCCCCCCCGCCCCGCCCTTGATGAATGATGGAAAATGCTTCCCTAAATCGGAATAATAGTTAATAATTTTAATCTTGTCCACTTCAGAATATCTGTCTTTTCTGAAATCACAAATGCTACGTCTATAGAAGGCTAATTTAGTTGTTCTCATTCGCACACAGCAGAAGTTTAATCAGCACGCCAAACAGATTTTAGTGCCATCTTCCCATTGGGTTCTTTTTATGAAAATGATTACTCAATAAGGAGGTGGGGCTTGTATTTTACCTACACTTATCTCCCTAATTTTTTTTTGGCGTGCGTACTAAGAGCCGGTTGCATTGAAGTGGACTTCACATGACCTAAGTTGGTTTCTTTTTCTAGATTCACATGTTCTACTTCTCCATCTCACCTTGACCACCAAATTTTCAAAAGTTAGGTGCGTGTGTGCGCGGACTCGTGGACCAGACAGAGACGGAACTCCCCCTACCCCCTCCCTCCCCCCCATCTCCCTGCTCTCCCGCAGAGATAGTTTTTTCCCATCACGCCTTTATTATTTTTTTTGACATCCGTTAAAATGAAAAATCAAACGCCTCCGCTAGCTTCCCTCAGTGAAAGCATGTCCGCATCACACTTCACACCTCATTCCTTGTTGAGAGGTTTCTCTTATAATTGTATTCCTCAAGACCAAACAAAATGAGACAATTGCTTCATCTACTACTTTCCTCTGTCCCCCCAAAAGGAATCACAGACACACAACCCCCTCCCTCCCCCTCCTCCTCCCATCCTTTTGTATACACACAAAACACAGTCAAGTAGAAAGTGGACAGAAAATGAAAACGAGCATTCATCTTACGAAACAATTTTCCTTCACCTAATTTTGCCCCACTACTTATTCTCATGAACTTAAACCTTCCTGTAGATATTCAAAACTATAAAAAACAGTCGAAGAGACGAAGGACAAATACATAGACAGCATTATTAACATTCACATACAAAAAGTCTTATTTCTCTTCTAAAGGTATGGAAACGAGATTCAATTGAAGTAATTCTCTATTTGAAGGCGTGCTGAAAGAAAGAATACGGGATATTTCAGAGAAGAAAATAATAGTTGGGGGGAGGAATGGATACACAGACGTACAGAGGGCATGTTTATATACAAGCGAAAATAAAGAATAGAGAATAAAGTGAGACAGTATTTACATGTTTGTGGTAGAATCTGAAGCTTCAGGAAAAGAGGACTCAGTTTGGTGTGGTTCCTGCTCACTGTCATCTGCATCCATCATTGTTGCCGCTGTTCGAGTGGCGGAGCTGGATGAAGTGAGGTTAAGAGACGAGGTCATTGAATCTGTGAGATGGGATACAATGTAGGTGACAAGGAAATCTCGAAGCCCCTTTGCCATTGGGGCTTGACTGCATATTGCATTCCTGCGTTTCCTTAATTTGAAACGAATATAAGGGCTTGGGCTAGCTGAAGGAGGAGAAGGAGATGGCGCGAAACAGCACTCTCCGGAGGGACTAGGAACTGGGGATGCAGGGGGACCAGGAGGGGAAAAAATTGGACCTGTATCAGACAATTTCCCAGTCGGGGTATATTCCAAACTATTGGCTGACGGAGGCCGAGGTAATTCGGGAGAGTAAGGTGACTGGAGCTTTATTTCGCACTCTGACCCCCGAACCGGTGTTGCACCAGCAGAATTGGAAATACGAACAGGAGTTGACGAAAAATATTTGGGGTTGACGGAGGGGCAAAAGATCGGAAAGCAAATGCCACTGTTAGTGCTACGATCGTAACGAGACGATCTACGAACTCTATGGATTCCATGAAGACCACGACGAGATTCTGCAAACATAGAAGCAAAATCAACAAAAATTTGAGCTTATGCTAATGTACCTTAAGCAATTATAAAATACACCTACATAATAATAAAGTAAATCAATAATATGAACAAGGTCAATAAAGAGCAATTCTTCAGCTCAGTATGAACTAAACGTTGATTCAATACCTTTTTGAGTTAGTCTCATTCGGTTCATTGTATTGATAAAAAATACGTGCATCAGCAATAGGGAAATATCGTAGACGCCAACGTCGACAGCTGGCTCCAATGAAATACTCAACCCACCAGCAGTTAAGTACAGCGGCAAATGGCTAACGGTGAAAATCGGTTGTGTTTGGAACCAGTAAAACAGCCAACTTATTATTGGAAACTAGAAGGTGACGCAATGATCAACTCTAGAGTTTAATTTACTCTCGAAAAAGTTCATTTTTTCGTTTACACTCTGCGTGTTTGTGCTATTTTTAGTATGTGTTAAACCCGCTTGCCATTTACACAGAATTAATTTCTTCATCTTAAATTAATAGATGAAAAAAATTCTACGATTTTTCAAGTGCATTTCTGCTATCCTAGTTTAATATTTTCATTTATTTTATTCAGAAATATGTTTTTAAATCCAAATGATTTGATTGCTTTATGTTAAAATTCGACTAAACCAAAAATATTTTAGATAAAATAGTTGAACTTTATGACACTGCTTGAATCTTTTAAAATGGAGTGTTGGTGATTCTCCAAGTACCATCTTATATTTGTTTTACGGCTCTCTTGAACTATAATCATTCTTTGCTGAAGTAATTTAATGCTAAACACATTTTAATCTGTCAAAAAAAGAACATCATTTGGTTCAAACCGCTATTATATTGATTAAGTAAAATGCAAAGCAGTAGAAATGCTTTCAATAAAAGAAGAAATAAGTAATGGAGTGAATCACACTATAACAGTTCGGGTATGGTTGTGAAAGACGACACAATATATTAGCTTCTTTTTACAAACGCTTCATTATAAGACACCTGTCATCTATTGTCAATGTTTCCACATGACAAACTTCATCTGTGTAAAAATAAACAATCGAGTTTGCATGCATACTACTGGAAGGCCTTTGGATATTTTGTTGTGGTCCAATCGCTCACCATTACAATTCGTTAAGCGATAACTGGAATAACTCTGAAACATGGTGATTTCCACATTTACTTGGAAGTTTTAAGGCAAATTTTCTTAGAAAGCATTAAAAATTAAAATAAAGAGCTATAACATTGAAATAAGCTCTAAGAGGGGATTCAATTACATTAATAATATTCACACAGAGGACCAGGATTGAAGGGGAAATAAAGGCATTTTGAAAATTTGGGAACAAGAATGGGAGGGAAACAAGGTTGAAAGGAAATTTTTAACGAGCAGTGCAAAAGGATCAGAAATTTGGATGAGAATTTTATTGCTCTAAAAATTCAACCGTAATGCTCGAAGAGGAATCGACTGATGAGGAAGAAACGGAAATCGTTAATTGCTAGTTTTTATTGTATAGGCAAATGCATCATCATGGTTTTTCAAAATAACGAATATTAACGAATGAAGTTACTCAAGCAAAGACTAAATTAATGCATAGCTGAATACTATTAGTATCCCGATTTTAGATTACACTGTCAAGGGATCCAATTACTGAATTATTTTCAAGCAATCGATACGATCAAGTAAAATATTGTTTATTGAAATTATTTTGCATTGTTTTCAAAATTGACAAATCCAGTTCAAGTATTTATTTATATCAAATGGCAGGCGTCTTGATGGCTATC